CCCCCGTTCCCGCGGGGGGGGGGGGGGGGGGGGGGGGGGGGGGGGGGGTCTCTTGCTCTCGCCGCCTGCAGGGGGAGACAGACGTCAGCGGCTGCTAGAAGGAAGGAGGGCAGCTGAAGCGCCGGCTTCGCGCCTCTTTCCCCTGACGGGGGGGCGGGGGTCGTCCGCCTGGTCCACTGCTGACCGGCTCCCCTCTCGGCCACCGCTAGCCCGGAGGTGCCTTTCCCGCTCCTTTTGTCACCCGCTCTGCTTCTGGCTCTCTTGCACGCGCGGGACAGTCCCAGGGCGCGGCGCGCGGGCTGGGCACCTCCGGCTGCTCTCGCCTCCTCGACGGCTCTCCTCAGCCTGAACAGAGAGGTTGTCTCCCAAGCGAGGGAGCGAGGCGGGCCGGCGGGCGGCAGCGCGTCCCCCGGTCGGAAGCGCCGGCTTCCCAATCGCCGCTCGCGCCTCGGCCGGGCCAAGGGAAGCGGCCGGGAAACCCCCCAGGGCAGGAAAGGCTCTCTACAGGCGCCGCACAGAGAAGTCTTCTGCGGGGTTTTGAGTGGAAGGGGAGCTTTCAGGACAGTGTTTCCCAACTTAGTGTGACCCAGGTGTGAAACAAATAAATAAATAAATGCACCCACAAACACATATTTCAGATTACTGTGAAGGTCTCGAGAGGGCTGGTTCTATCTTTCACCCAAGGATCTTGGCTCCGTTTTTAAAAAAAAAACAAAAACTCTGCACTTTACATGGTTCCCCACTTCGTCAGTTCCTTCTAGACAGCACAGCATCGTATTTTAGACATTTTGTATGGTCCACTATAAATCCTTTCAAAACAACAACAAAAAACCTCTCTTGGGAGCTTTGCATTTACAGTATTTGACTTAGTCACTGTCCTGTAGTGTTCTTGCCTTGTGCTCTGCCAGCTCTGGGGTTCTGTGAATAAATAGAATTCTGCTTCCAATAATAGCGATGACTAGATGCCCATCGTTTTTGGCTGGTGCAGAATTAGACACTGGAATTAGAAGTTCGAGCTTCCTGTGGCCTGGATTTTCTCCCATAAGTAAGAAGCATTGTAGGAACAAATATCAATGCCCCATAGGAGGAACAGAAAGTGTTTTCAGAGTTAACATGGCTAATCTCTTTATGGAATTATGTCTTTATATATTAAGCAGTTTATGCATTCTGAATTTATTTTTAGGTGGTAGAAAATCTGATATAGAACATTTATTTCTAGAAGGCTGCATGATATCCATCAAGTACCTAGTTAACTTTGCGTGTTTGAAATGCGATCCTAAACTCCACGTGGGGAAATAAACCTCATTGCTTAGAGAGAATTTACAGTCAAATCACAGGTTGAGACAAATAATATAATGCTGCTGTGTTGTCCAGAAGACTGAGATGCAAATAAGGAAACCCCTCATGTTAAATGTAGTGAATTAACTGAGGAGAGGCATTAAACCACTACTCAGTCCCATATCCACAAAGTCAGCATAATAATAATGCCTAAGGGGAGGATTTCTATGACATTTCAGATGTTCTCTGCAACCAATACTTGAACCCACAAGCAACTTTAAACATACAGTATCTATGAGTAATCTGGCCTTTCTCACCAGATTACTCATAAACATGGCCAAACCCACCTATAAATTCAAACATAGGCTGCAGACAAAATATGAAATGTCATAGAACTCCTCCCTCTAATGACCGACCTGTCCTCCAGAACTGTAAGACATAAAGTGCTTTGAATACTCAAAAGTGTTATACAAATCATAGCAGCTTTCAAGGTAAGTGAGGTATTTAAGGAGTGGTTTTACCAATTACACACACATACACACGTAGTGAGTTTCCATGCCTGAGTGAGGATTCAAACTCCAGAGTCCTAGTCTGTCACTGTATCCACTACACCACACAGGGTACCTTTTTGTTTTTTATTTAGAACTGGCAAATTGAATCAAGCACATGCTTGATCAGCATTCATTCATTTGTTTGTTCGGTAGCTGAGTCTATATTCTTCCTCTAGGTGGTGCACCTGGCTTTCCTCTTCCCTACTTTTGTCATCACAACAACCCTGTGAGGTAGGTCAGATTCGGAGAGAGTGACTGGCCCAAAGGGACCCAATACATTTCACATGGAAATCAGAACTTAAAGTTGTGTATCTGAAACCATAATACTGTTGTTTTTTAAAAAGATCAGATGAATGGGAATATTCCCATATATTAAATGCTTGGATTCAAGACCTTGATGTACAATGTAGAATGCACTGCAAGAATTACATACCAAGATAAGCTACAGTAATGATGCTACAATCCACACTGCATTTTATAGGAACCCTTGCCTCTGTCCTATTTGTCTATGGAAGTGATTCCTTTTTAAATGCTGGGGGAAGGGGGGGCCTAACAAACGCACTCTATCTATTTATTTTAAATATTTTACCCCATGTTTCTCCTTAAATAGGAACCAAGGTGGCTTTCATCATTAAAAAAAATTTAAGCTAAAAACAGTAAGTATACAAATATTAAGCAAAGAATTAAACAAATGTTATATTAAAAATGGTAAGTACAATCAGTACTAAAAACACATTTAAAAGCAAAAAGGCACAACAATCCGTTTATAAACTCGGCTCAAACTGCCAGTCTCTCTAAGGGAAAGCCTGCCTGAAGAGAAAGATCTTGAGCACCCAAATGCCCCCACCCAGCAGCTTTTTTAAAACACACACACACACACACACCTGTAGTAAACTTTATAAATAACCATTCTAATTAATTAATTAATTAATTAATTAATTATTAGAAAGAAACTCAGAATTAAAACACCATACAGCTTGCAGCCATGTAGAATAGTACAACATTAATCACAAAACACAGCAGCAATTAAAATATCCTCTCTCTCAGTTTGCCTCATGCATAGGACTCTTGCTGAAATACAAATGCTTTCACTAGGAGCAGGAAAGAAAGCATTAGTTTAGCAAACTATTCCAAAAGAAGAATGCCTTTGTATAGGGCTGCCCCCAAAAATTTTGCTGCACAGTTGAGAAGTGAATCCACCACTATCACCCCACCAAGATAATATACAAAAGAATCGAGGCTGATCAAGGTATTTTGGTATCAGTTGAGGCACCAAATCCAAATCTGACAAATACCTCTCTCCTTGAGACATAGGAAAAGTTACTTTTGAGAACAACATGTTGGAGACTACAGTTCTCAGAATCTCTCAATGACCATGCTGTCTGAGAGATTCTGTAAATTGTAGTTCAAAACAGTAAGTTTCTGATACATGCTCCCTTTCGGGTAGTAGAAAAAAAAACACCCCAATATAATAATAAATGAAAGCATTAATCACTAGCTGTTCATTCATGGCACATAAGATCAGCTCTCCGGGTTAGCTTCTTCACTCTGCCTAATGATAGGACCATCCTTGTCCATGTGTAAAACCTTGCTCTCTGCTCTTTACCCTGCACATGCTTCATCTCTTAAAAACCAGACCTGATAGTGGCAGGGATATGTGTAAACCTCAGCTACATATAAAAGAGGGCAAAGATCCCATATTCTAGAATGAAAGGGAGCAGACAGACTAGCCCACCCACCTCACCAAAATCTGTGCCACCAAATTTTTTTTTCTGAAGCACAATATCAGAAATGAACTCTTTGGGGTGGAAAGCACTTGAGAAAAGAAGTTGCAGGAAGGTAAGGAATGTCCATAAGAAGCAGGGTTGCAGAGCCAGAAGCCCTGTTGCTGAAGTGGTATCCCAATCTTTTCCTCCTAAGGTAGTCTGCTTCCTTCAACTATGGTAGAAGATTATCTGATGTGAGGGGATACATGCATGTAATGGGAAAGGAACACCACCTTGGTTTTTCCCCTCAAGCAGCAAAGTGTCTTTGGTCATCCTTCAAGGGTTATCAGACAAGACAGAATCTGTCTTTGAACACATGGAAGACTTAAAATACAGTGGTGCCTCGCATAGCGAGGTTAATCCGTTCCGGATTAACCTTCGCTATGCTGAAGCATCGTTAAACGGTACAGAAAAGCCCATTAGAACGCATTAAACATGGTTTAATGTGTTCCAAATGGGCCAAATACTCACCGTTTAACAAAGCTTCGTAATGGCCGGCAGCCATTTTCGCGCCCTCGCCTCGCTTAACGAGGGCGCGAAAACGCTGCGGGCGGCCATTTTAGGCCATTTCCCGGCTTCCGGTGGCCATTTTGGCCGCCGAACAGCTGATCGGCGGGGGTCGTTTTGCGAAGATCGGTAAGCGAAACGCTTACCGGTCTTCGCAAAGCGAATTTTTCCCTATGGGAAAAACGTTGTGCGATCGCATTAGCGATCCGAAAAAACGGATCGCTATGCGATTTAATCGTTATACGGTGCGCTCGTTAAGCGAGGCACCACTGTAACTGGGAAGTGTGCTGATCATATTCAAACCCCATTTTCCCCATATTAATGTTTCCTCCACTGCTGAATAATAACAGCTGTGCTCACTCATCCCAAGGAAAGCAAAAGATCTAGGTTAGCGCACCTGATTTCATAGCAGAACAGAGTTCTCCTAGTGCTTTCTAGCAAAGTACAGGAAGCTGATGAATTGGGCTGCAGTTCACAAATGCATATGCCGAAGCCAAATAAAATACAGTGGTGCCTCGCATAGCGAGGTTACTTGAGGAAAGTTAATTTTAAAGACTGTATGACGACTGCAGGACTTGGAAATCTGGAGTCCAAAAAAATAACTTTTACAAACTGGGATACCTACTTCAAAGAGTGTGCAAAGTACAGAATCTGCCCTTGTACATCCCATCACGGCCACCTTTCTTTTCCTCATCTTTACTGGTGCAATCAGCACT